CATTATACGAAGTTATACGAATAATATAATGTCTGCACCACATTTGTCAATCTATTGATAATAAATAAAAAAAAAAAACAGATTTATGAAGTAACATTGGATCATTTTTGTTTTGCTTTATGATGATACTGTGTATCTCTGATCGTACTATCAACTTAATCTATGAGAGATTACGAAATGTTCGTATTTCGACAAAAATGAGAAATTTCTAAAAAAAAATCAGCTACGAGTTTTTTCGCAGTTATGTACAGATGCTCAAACGGTGTGTAGCATATGGGTTAATAAACATTCTCTGTAACTCTCCACTTTTAGCGAATTATGACCTTCCAGCACTTGCGATCGGAGGCACTCTGGACCACTTGATGACGGAGGCACTTACACGCGTGCGCACACACATGCAGACACATAACCAGAGGAAGTCCATGCACATGGAGGTGGGGGAGAGATATGCTCCGATAGAGAAAGAGAGATAGAAATATGTATATGTGTATGTGCGGACGTTACTTGGAGCGGAATTTGTGTTATTGCGCGACAGGGTCCACGTGAGGGGCGAGAATTTGTGCGATAACGAGCCGGCGGATGCGGTCCCGATGAGCCTTCGCAGTGGACTGTTTCGCTGGAGGCTACGCGACAATATCCTGCACTACGTGTTGCCTCTATAGTTAGATACACCTCGCGCCCCACCCACCCGGGGCTCGTCGTCGAGCACCGGGCATCCGTATCGAGAAGGCGATTACGAGGGGAGACACGTGCTGCTGCTCACGCATCCTTTGTCTTGCGATTCTTCAAAGAAAACCGACAGGACAGATAACTTCACACACACACACACACACATATGTATCAAAATTCACAAGCTTTTTAACTAATCAATGTTTCGCATTTGAAATGTGTAATTGGAAATCAAAATATTCTTGCGAATTGAAAAATAATTATAAATAGGTACGATTTTTTAGACAGCCTGTATTTAAATATAATATGGGTTTTGGCCTCAAGTGGTAGCAATACGCGATACTTTCATTAACGCGCGCTTCACGGTCCAGTTTCGCGTAATGATTCTGTATTTCACTGTGGATAGATCCGGTACATTTACCGAGACATTTTGCGGTATAAATACACGAGGAAATTTGAACGAGTCACGCTAGATCTTCTTTTGCACAGTAGACATAATTGCGAAATGTAAAATGGAGATTAACATCGGTTGGGCAATGACTTTTAAACAGAGTTAATAATCACAACTTTTTTGTTCTTCGATTAAAAAGAGATGCAGATAAATTTTATTAAATTACTCACCGTAAAAGTGTAGAATCCTTCGGGCACTGGTTGACCGCCAAATTTGACGCTAAGGGTGTAGTCGCCCGCATCGGCGACAGTATAGTAAATGTTAACTGTGCCATCACCGTTGTCTTCTATGTCAATGTCAACGACTTCACTAAAATCACAGACAGAAGCCGAGATGTATTATTCATAAGATTAAAATACAGAATTCAGATCCATTCAAGAAATTTTCGAGCAAATTTTCACATGGCACCGTTGCGACGCTATTCTATAATCAACTGTGCAAATGTTTCAAATAGTTTCGCGAGATTCAGTTATTATTCAGATTATTCAGTGTCCCGCAAAGAGAAAAGTTTTACATAAAATTTGTTTTCCCGATAGAATTGAAAAAAGCCTATATTTGGCTTTAATGTTTGCAAACAAATCAAGTGGAAAAGTTCTCTCAATTCTTTTATATTCTATTACTCATTTCAAGAAAATAATTTTAATTAGTATGGTAATAAAATTTTTTTTAAATTATGTACTAAAAAATATTTTTCCGTTTATATCTTAACAACAATTTTTGTTAATTCTCTTTTATTATGCAAAACCCACAAGTCTACTAATATATTATTAATTTATGTAGAATACAGTCATACATTTCTTTTACAAAAAACATATCTCTTTTTTTATTATTCAAAACTTGTTTAATTATTGGCAAACAACTCAACACGAAAATAAACAAAAAGAAATGCTGATATCTCTTTCTCTCATTCTTTACATTAAAAGATTATAAATTAATAAACAATTATTTGCGCATAAAATATAATTGAGAAATCATGTTTATTATATGAAGAGGATAATAACATCTTGTTGCTCATTATATTACGCGAAAAAATTTGGCCCGTTTTGAAATTACTTCTCGACAGAAAGACAGTCACTGCCAACTCGAACAACGCAGGATATTACGATGAATTATGAGATAGCAGCTGCGCACTACTGTCAGCATTCAAAAAGCATTTATAGTCGATTCGATTAGAGTTGTGACAAAATTTTTGAGGGAACGCGCCGGTTATGCGTGAATGCATACGATGCAAAAGTAGGATAGCAAGTGGAATTTAAGTGATCCCAAAATATTCACGAAGGACATAATCGTACGTAGGCACGTGGCAATACTATGTTTTTTCTAACAGCGCGATAAACAAGTTCTATAACGAGAAATATGATGATGACTGGTTGAAATGTTGTTACTTTCTGTCTTCATTGTACAATTTATGATTTATTTCTGTTGTAATTATGTGATTAAGATAAATTGCATGTTATTAATTTTATGGATGTTTGTTGTGTGAAATTTCTTCTTATAAATGTAACATGCACTTTAGATAATATTTTCTAATTTTTTGTATTATGTAAAAAAAACTTTGTTAAAAATACTCAGTCTGTTTAATTATAAGACTAGTGGTCAATAATTGTAATTGTATATTTCAGTAATTGTCAATAATAAATATTTAAATTGATTTCCAACTCGATGGAAGAAAACAATTGCCGCTATAAAACGAATAGACTACGCAAATGAGAAAGTTTCGCAGCCAAATTAAAAAATTCCTTTATTTTTTCTGTAGAATTGGGTACAATTTAGAAAAATATATATGCCGCATTGTATATGTCGCAAAATCACGCTACTAAATAATCATGCTTGTTCGATTCAACTTGGCGTTCTTCGCCGACGATGCCAACTCATATTAAAGGTACATTTCGCTTCCGGATTAAACCAAACTGACATTTAATTTCAATGTTGCGGTACGATAATCGACATGGATTTGCGTACAACTGACCGGAGGTTCGCAACGAACTACGAAGGCGTATTACCACCTCGTACACGACATTCGTAATGGCAACGTGCCATGATCCTGATATCTCTCAGATTTGTTACACGATTTATGGCTGACTAGTCATTAACACCTTTACATTCCATGTACTAAGCTCAATATGCGGTTATTGATCACTCTCGGAAGTGGTATTATTCTAAATTGCATCTTTGATGCAATAAATTTCTAATTCTTAGTAGTTTGATTGCAAATAACAAAATTAATCAAATAATTTATTAATTATTTAAAAAAACTAATTTATGGTAATTCTCAGAGTAAAATCAGAATTCAGAAAAATGTAAAATACTTTATAATCGTAAGAAAATATAATAAATGTAATAAAATATAATAATTGTAATTTGCTCAAAATGCCTGTGCAATGACATAAGCATAGAAATAAAAAAAATCTCTTTCTTAAATTCGTTTATAAATTAAAAATAAATATAATAGATTACGACGGCGCGACATATTCAAAATAAAATGGAATGTTTGTCTGGAGTCTTGAATCTTCAATCCGAAGATTGAAAAACGCAAGTGGGTGAAGAATGCGGTAAAAATATTACCTACTCTCACCATGTATTTTTCTAACACGAATATCAATCCAGATACAAAAATTACACAGAAATATTATTAGAAATTAGAATTGCAAAGAATTTAAGAAGATTGAAGAACAAAAAAAATGTGATTTCTAATAAATAATTTTGCAGATAGCGAAATAAAAGTACATTAATTTTATGAAAAAAAAACACTATTTAAAAAATTAATTAATTTAAATATAAATATCGATAAATTTATATATTTAATATTGCACAATATCTTTTTTCGTAAAAAAATGTTTCTTTTGCATATTTTAATTATAACTAAAACAACAGAAAGATTCAGAAAAGTATATTTGTATTATTTATAATATTTTTTCCGTGTGATAAATTGTGTATAAGCTGTAACGATAATATTTCGACAATTGCGAGAACAAATTTCGATGTTTCTCCCGGCGCTTTCTCTCTCTCTCTGACTCACCTCTTCCAAATAACCAGCTTTAAATCGGGACGGATTATGCAGAGTGCTTACCTTCCGGAAGTGGAACGGATGCGGCAGGTCACTGCACCACGGCCTGCATTTTCAGTATCGACTGTAATGCAGTACTCCTCGCCCTGAGCCAATGTGTGCTGAATACCCTCCTTGATCTTGCACTGATCCGCCTTGCCGGTGGAGACGCTCTGCACGTTAACCGGGCTGCCTGGCACTTCCTTGCCGCCGTACTTCACGTTGACCTTGTAGCGTCCACAATCGTCCGGCAGATACGTCGCCTTGTACTTTCCGTCACCGAGATCCTGCACCTGCACCTTGCGCGGTACCTGATCCGGACCCTGTAACGAGCAAAATTTTAAAATAATTGTAACCTGCGGAGAGCAAGATTTATTAGTTGTTTTATCATTCGCAAGTCATTCGATAGCCGATATATCCATCTCTCTGACAGGTCGCTCTGGTTATCGTGACTCATTTAATTTGTTTTGGTACGTAGACGTGTTTTGGTTACTCAGCTAGCAACCTAAATCAAGCGGGCCGTGCGATGATAAATATGAGTAATCGTTGTAGTGGTTGGCAAATAAAAGGAAGGATTTCTCAAATATGTATGACTGGTATCAAAAAATAATTTGAGGATATGTCAATAATCTGGTGATAAATAAATTTATCAGTGATATTGAAAATATCTATGTATTGATTCTACATGTACAGAGATCGGTCAAGAGTTAAATTTTGAAATTTTGTAGAAGAAAGAAGTTTATAAAACGAAAGTTGAAAATAATATAAATTATAAATAAAAATATTATTCTCTTCTATTAGTTTTTTTTATGTTACTTATTTATTTTTTCTTATACTCTTTTTAATTAATCTCTTAATCTTTAATTGATATTTGTATTAATTTTTTTGTTCGAAAATATTTAAGAAAAGAATGCATCTTATCATCTTATATTGCATTAAATCTCCTTATACGCTTATATATATTTTCATTATTTTCATAATTATCGCGCGCAAGTGAAGAATAGGTTATAATAATCAATTACTTAAATATTTATTTTTATAAACTACACAGTAACGCAATATTAGATATTAATGATATATTACAATAAATTAAGCTTTAATGAGGATTAAATATAAAGAATTAATAGATTTTTGCTGCCATCTCTCGATATATTTTAACAAATATAATAATATAATAATATATATAATATATTAATATATAATAGAATAATAATAATAATATAATAATATAATAATATATATAATATAATATAATAATAATTAAATTTGGTAATTCAATTTTTTTATAAAAAATTTATTCGATTTTTGTTACTATTGTTGTAGAATATAAATTAATGAAAATTTCAGTCCATTTCGAAGATTTTATCCTGATTGGAGATTGAAGTAACTAAATCTGTGAACAATTCTCCTTCTCCAAAAGAATGACTAATTTTATCCGGATGACATTAATCGTCCGTTTCTTCGTCAGTGGAATTCGTTAGTGAGGTTTCGAGATGTGAAGAATTATTATCTTACAACAGCTCGTCTTCATCATCGGTATACTCGATATACTCAATCGTGGGCTTTCAAAATTGTTAATAGAACATATTTAAAAAAAAAATAAGTGAAAAAATGCAGCCTAAATAAATTTAATAAAAAGGTATATGTATAATATAATCTTAGCAAAATTTTGAAATTTTATAGCTATATTAAAATCAGAATAAAACAACAAGACTAAAGTGTATAATTATGAAAAGATCTTAGCGATATGAGAATCTCAGTTATTTATTGATTGATTATTGTCAGTAAGCAATGCTGAAACATCTTTCCAAAGGCAAGTATGTCTCGGTAATAATATTGAATAAGAGAATATTGCACTCACCACAACTTGAACTTCGAGATCGCCGTATCCGGCGTTAGAAGTATCCACGACGAAGTCAGTAGGGAAGGAAGCGGTGCAAACATGTGACACTCCCGGACCCGACAGAGTGACTTTGTTGGGTTCCACGGTAGGCAGGACTTTTATCTTGTACGGACTGCCCTTGATGTCCTCGCCGTCGTAGGTCACGCCGATGTGCACGTTGCTTCCGGCGGGCGGCGGTTGGTACGTCACCTCGTACAAACCGTCGCCTTTGCTTTTGATCTGCGGCTTCTGCGCCTGTCCCTTGTCAGTCGACAATCTAACGTCCAACTGTGCCGCTTTAGCGCACTTCGATGTGTCCACCGTGAACTTGGCCGGCACACCTTCGCGCACCATCTCGGGCTGCAAACCTGGTCCGTAAGCGATCACGTTCTTTGCTTCCGAATCCGAGATCACCTCGACTTTGAATGGCGAGCCGGGTATGTTTTGTTCAGCGAACTTGATGCCAATTTCATAATCACCGGGTTCCGTAGGAACGTATTCGACGGTGCAGGAACCGTCATAGTTATCCTTCGCCTCCGCCTTGACTTCTCCATCGCCAGTGATCGATAACCCCAAGCCGCCGTTGCCAGCCTCTGAAAAAGAATCGTGCATATTTTCTATTTCGCTATTTTTCTCTCCAACAAATTACTCTTAACAAACAAAAGTTAACAGAAATGCATTTAGATTTATTTTCGTTGCGAAGAAACATTTACGTTTGAGAACTGTCGTTTTATTTATACGCGTTAAGTTTTATATCTATTTATTTTATATAAAATTATAATATTAAAAATTTGTTCCAACTATTGATTTACAAACCTTTGGTTTCCACCGTGAAGCGGTTCGTCTTATTCACGATGCCTTTCTCCAGTCCTGGACCGTACGCACGGCATTTGCTGGGATCAGAGCCGCGCTGTACGTTTACGGAGAACGGCGAACCCGGAATGGGCACGTTGTCGTAGAGTATATCAATAGTGTGACAGCCCTCCTCGAAAGGTGTGTAACTGACGCGATAAGTACCGTCACCCTGCGGGATGATGAGCTTCTCCGTTTTTCCTCCACTGGGGTTGTTTATAGTGCAAGACACTTTACCGTCATCAGTCTTCGACTTAGCGATGTCTCTCGTGTCTATTGTGAACGTTGCTTGCTTGTTCACAAATAAACCTGCAAGATTCAAGAATGCAACGTGATCAGAAAGGTGGTTAAGAACAAAACAATGTGTTCTTCTTTCGAGCTCAGGACTGTGAATATGAGGAATTTTTCAAAACAACTGAAGGCACGCGAAAGTACAAACTTTAAAATGCTTTTTTAATTTTTTGTCTACGATGATTTTTCGCCGAGTTACAACGGTTTGAAAATGACTAAATTTTAACCGTTTAAATATAGACGAAAAATTAAAAAAGCATTTTAAAGCATCACAAAATAATAAATAAAATATAATTTTTAAATAAATATCGATCAACATAGAAGAAATAAAGATTCAATATAAGATTATTGTTGGAGTTAAGAATTTCAATTATTAGACAAACTGAAAATAAGATTATAATTGTAAAAGACAAATAAACACGTAAACTTAAAAGTTTTTGTTCTGTATATTTCCTCATTTTTTAAATATTCAAATATCTTATAACAAATTTGCGTGCTAAAAACAATCATAAAATCTAAAGCAAAAAATAATATAATGTAACACAACAAAAACAGGCGCAATCATAAAATATACATGCATCACTACGTACGTATAAGATTTTAATGCGTCTTAGAAAAACCTTTCAAGTTTACAAATTCTTTTTTTATCTAACAATGATAAATTTTTCTTGGGCATACATTTTTTAAGTATCAGAATATGCACATGCAATTTGTCAAATAATTTATAAAATTCGACATGCATGAATGCCAGATACAAATTCCTCAAATATCGACAATTTTCATGAAGCGAAATCTCACAATTTCCAGACGCGTTAAAAAACTTCATTACGCAAATAAAAAATCAGCACAGCACTCTTTCAGCTTCGCAAAACGCTCTCCGTCTTAAACGGTACCGTGTGGCTGGATGCCGTTTCCGCTGACTTTGATCTTGGAGAGATCCGCATCCGGCACGACGATCGCCTGGAAGGGCGAGCCCGGCACGTGCTGCTCGTTGAAGGTGATGTTGATACCGTAATCGCCGGCTTCGGTGGGCAAATAAGCAACGGAGCACGTGCCGTCGCCGTTGTCCCTGCAATTTATGGCGGCCTCGCAAGGTCCCTCGACAGTCACGCCGAGGCCACCTTGGCCGGCCCCGCGCGTGTCGATCACGAATTCGGCTGGTTTGTTCACCACGCCGTGGGAGAGGCCGGCCCCGGAAGCGCG